TTTTTAAAAGTCCCAACAAGAGAAGGTGGTAGGTTACCGATAGTCCCCGCCCCGCCTCGAGCCCTTTTTTAAATAGAAACGGAGTGATCGTCCCTGAACACCGATGCGGGTTACCCGTGACCCAAACTTCAGCGGGAGTCGCAAGCCCCCCCATCCCCCCCCCCCCCCCGGCGGAATGTGAACTTTTCCGAACAGTGAAGCCATCAAGTCATACGAAAAACCTAAACGCTGGCATGTGCCCCATTTCGAGAACGCAACACTGTGCTCAATTGATAAGCGTGTTGCCTCAATACAACCCACCAAACTCCTAGCCCAACGCCGACAAAAGCGATTAGGGCGAACGCAAGCCAGCATCAGCAACCCCCCCCTCCTCTCCTACTCTACGACAAGGACGAAAGACTCTTCTTCGAGAACCACCTCACAGAGACAAGCAAGCGTGCACCAGCAACATCAGCAACAACACAGCGGCAGCAGAGAGGGCACGCACCTCGCCCTCAGGATGGACTTGGCGTGGAACTGCCTGGACGGGTCGGCGGGGTCCTCGAGGAACTCTATCGTGATCTTACCCGCAGACACCGCGCGGGTGCGGCTGACGGCGTCCCTGATCTTGTCGCCGTCCTTACCCCCGACAACGATCACAACGCGGTCAATACCGCTTCTCACCTACAAAAAAAAGTGGGAGACGGGGGGGGGGGGGGGGGGGATTCGTAGCCGTTCATGCCGTCGTCGTTATAACATTGACCTCCCATCCCTACAAAGCCGGGAAGGAGCACGCCGGGTTCTCACGGGGGGGGGGGCTCCGCAGTGAGAAGCAGGGACCGGGGGGGGGGGCATCATGTTTTCCTCGACCATGAGATTATGGAGTCACACCGCCTCTCGTCAGGATCGAGAGCGAGGAAAATGGGGTAGGCCCTAAAATATCTCGTTGGGAGAGGGGGGGGCGCTCTTGGGCAAGACTCGCTTGCATCGGAGAGGTGACAAAAGCGCGAAGGCTGAGAGAACAAACGCACGGTGTGCGGCTAAGGAAACGAGAAGCGACAAAATACTACAAACCTCGCATCAACAACTGCTTGTGGACGTACACAAAGACAAAACTGTCCCGTCCTGAGGGTATAATTCCTGCCCCTGTTCTCGTGACGACGTCCCACTTTTCGTGCGACGTGACCGACCCAAAATACACCGCCGACTCTCGCTCTCCCGAACACACACCAGGTTGAGCAGCACGAGCTCGACGATTGTCTTTCCGCCGGAGCCTCCGAGCAGCCACAGCGGCCGCGGCACCTCCCCGTCTTCCGCCTTACCCGGCGCGTTGGCGGGTCTGCTGACGGTAGTCATGAGCGCCTGGCGCACCCCCGAGGGGGGGTACATGGCTGGGACCTGAGAGGACGAGCAAAAATGTAGCGTTGTCAAACGCGTGACATGGTCAAGTATTTAGTCAAGGCTGGTTCGTTGCTCCAGGAGTACGGTCAGAACAAGAGCCTGTGTTTTCTGGGTTTGACAGCCAAGTCAACTGTCAACGGGGCAGCAGACGGATGGTCAGTCGGTCTCGAACGCATAGCCCCCCCATCGGAGAATATACGATAGGAGTGCGGGGGGGGAGGAATTCACCATTCCGCCATACCCCCCGCCTTCAGGCCAAGGCCTGGAGAGATCGGTTTCTCCCGCAGGCGTAGGCTTCACAGCAAACGCGGAGAACTGACGTTGAAGGGTTTGAGCAACGGTGCGCAGGTACGTTCTCGTGTACCATTTAACTGTCGCAACATGAACGACGGCGACGATGTTGTAGACGACGACGACGACGACAACACCAACAACAACACCACGACGGTTGACCGCCCCTGCCAAAATCCCGCTCCCACGACGGTAGCGACGCCAGCAGCAGCAACAACAGCACAACGGTTGAAGCACACCACCACCAACGCAACAAAGAGAGAGAGTTGGAAAGCGCATCGAAAGCACTGACTGACGTCGAGGTGGTCGAGTGTCGGCGATGTCCTCGTCCCGTCCACGGCGACGCCCTCCGCTTCCGAGGTGGCCTCCTTCCGAAGGCTGTGCAGCAGCTCATCGCGCCCGCACCCTGTTAAGTCAAAATTGGCATAATTCAAGCAAGAGGGAGGGGAGGGGAGCGGGGACAAAACGCACGTACCCCATGTATAAGTCGATCTGGCATCACTCAAGCAAGAGGGGGACAACACAGAGAGTTTTTTTTGTCTCACGAAATCGGTAACCCGTACCCCGCGCATAAAATGCGTACACGGAACCCAAGCACAACATCTACACCGTACACACACAGAGGGCAAGCATCAACTGGGGAAATAAATACTTATTTAGCACGGTTCGTTGGGAAACGACAAGCAGTAGCACCATATCAGCTAGCCTTTCGGCCAATCACACTCTGCGCTTGCGCAGGCAACCAGAGTTTTGGTCTCTCCGTCGCCACGCACACGCGACGCCTTGGCTACAAGCAGGAGCCTTCGTCTACAACGATCGATATGCGCCGCGGGGCCCTACCCTAACCCCAAGCAACCAAGGACAGGGAAGGCCACGAACATGACGTACTGGTACGGCATTAGTGGTGCCAAAGAGTCCACCGAATGATCGGCGGCGGCGAGGTTTCCTCTCGAACCAATGGTTGCCGCAACGGAGTAAGCCGTACCATTGTAGGGGTAGCGATCCCTTCATAAGGGAAGTGGTTCCCGTGTATGGCTGCATGAAGAACGCGGTCGCCCTGTGCCTAGAAGGCCGCTGAAATCGCGCAACACAGATGGAACTAATCAATTTTGCTCGTTCTCCGAACACCGCCGGGTGCACGGTGCACGGCCGGCCGCACCCGTTGGCGCCCAGCCCAGCATACCCCTGACGCAAAAAACAATCACCTCTGCGTCTAGACTCGCAGCAATTCGCTCGAAACACAAAACACATGTGTTGTGTAGACTACATACCGAGCACATCTGCCAGCCTCGTCATGTCAACCAGGATGGCGTCTCCGCTGGCCAGGCCGCTCCCGGTGCCCGTGGTGTTCCTGGATTCCCGGGATGGGCCGCGTTGCGTCGCCACACCGGTGTCCTGTGGGCCCTCCATCGCTGACCCGCCTGGCGAAGGAAACGATTCAAGCACACACGAGACAAAAACGAAAATAAAACCGAAACAACAAAACTATAGTAAGTATGGCGGCCGAGAAGAACACAGCAGACAGAAAATAACGTGGGCGTGGAAGCATCTACGGGGGACGCTACAGAGAAGGGCTAGTTCCAAGCTCGACAAGATGATGCAAAACAAATACCTGGTACGAATCAAAGAGCCTTACTGCAGGGCAACTATAGAATGTTAGAAGTGAGGCATCGTGCTTCGAACCGTGTAGCTCAACACAGCAGCAGTTCGCCGAACAGCCTCCCGGAACAGAGTGCGGGATGGATGACACAGACGCATCAATCCAGAGAAGGGGAGCATTCGGATAAAATCGTATTCTTCCCACTGGTTGCTGTTTTGTTGTCGCAGACGCACCGATACTGCTGTCCTCAACTGTTCTGCAGTACAGCTAGCTTAGCCCTCTTAGTCCTGGACGCTCATATGGGGAAACTTTGGGGACACGGCACTCAAAATGTCTGTTTACCGCACCGTAGTCGCCCTAGGCTCCGTTGTGTGCAACGGACGTCAAAACCCTTGGTCTGTTATGCTTGGCTGAAGTGGTACGCTATGTGATACCTCTCCTCGGCCTCTGACTCTTGCTGTACATATCGTCCCAAGCCGCGTCATCCCTGGGTGGTAAAACGGCTGTACAAAGGCTGACTTGGCTTTAGTATGAACAGCAGTGCCTCGACGTGTTTTGGGAACACTGAGGCCAAGTCACCCTTTGTCTCCGATTTCTTTGGAGGGACTGTAGCCCCTCGGCCAATGACATCTTTTGTTGGGATGTTTTTTTCGCGTAGGGACTGCGTACTAGGAGGGTTAAGGGCCTCAAGGTTTAGCCGAGGCTGGGTTTCTTACTGTAGCTCCTTTGGACGATATAAAACAGTTGCTAGGTTTTAGTGCAGGGGTTCTCGACCGAGCTCACAGATGGTCCTCAAAACCTTAGATTTTGAGTTTTCATAAGGCTCAAATTCTTTCTTTCTGCCAAGTGTCAAGTGCTGGCAATATATATATATAGTTGTACCCCCCCTCCCCGTACGAGGAAAAGGTACACGAACCACGAACCTCCATCGAGGGTCACACGCCATCCCAACCAGGGTAACAAGATGCTATCTAAACGCCCGACGGACTGGTCGCACCGATTGCCACAGCGGTGTATGACGTCATGACTGCTGTTGTACCGTAGATTGCGTAAGATACCACACACATCATGCATCAATTCTCAAAAGGCCGATTGCCCTCCGACCGAGAGAAATCCCGAGGATCTCAGAGACCAGTTTTCGAAATGCTCTCCCCGAAATTTTTTCCAACACCGCCTCTTTCGGCGCCGCCACCGATGTTGCTGAGTCGTCTAGCTTTGCAAATCGGCCCAAGGGGGCGTGATATCTTGCGTCGTGCCACGCCCGGTAATCCAACAGATTTGATATTTTTGGTTTCGGTGTGGTTCGCTGCGCCCTTCGAGTCGAGGCATGTCAGCTGCGTTTGGATGTTTTTGAGCTTGGACGATGCCTCGTAAAACGTCATAGGCTGGTCAACCTTTGGAACGCCACCAGCCGCGAGATGGAAGCCAGCTGTTGCAGCCAGTTGCTCCTGGCGGGATGTTGGCGTTGAAATGCTTTTGTACAGCAGTTAGCCGCCCCCCCGAAACAAGCTGTCCCCCTAGGAGACCAGCTCAAACAAGTTTTGGCCGAGCAAGGCGTATGACTACTGAAGCTACCACCATGCCCGTTATTAGTACCAACGCATCACCCCGTCATATACCGTGTTCTCATGAACCAACTCCGCAGGGATCGCTTGCCAATGCATCATTTTGTAGTTATACGCGTTATGTTAGGGTACGCGTTTCGGAGGTTAATTACCGCGAAAAAAAAACAAGACCAAACGGGAAATCGTGGAAATACAGGGTAGCCTCCGCTGACGCTATGGATTCCTTGCTACTCTTATCTTAGACTCATTTTTAGATAGATGGATTCGATTGTCAGGACTTCGCATCATATTGAGAGAACAAAACAACCACGCACCGGCAGCCAGGGATCAACGCGCGAAAAGCAGGGAGTAAATAATTGTCTTACCGTGTGTGCTGTGCTTTTCTTTAGGGTGCCACCACCAGCACACCCGACGAACCAACTACCCAACACCTTCCTTCTACACCTTCTTTCTGTGTGTGTATCTAGTTTTCCTATTAATTATCCCAGCATAAAATACAGAGAGATGCACAAGATGGCTAAAAAACTGTCTTGTTGAGGCTGTGTTAACCACAGGGGAGATACGGCTGTGTGCAGCTCGGGAAATCGTGGAAATACAGGTAGCCTTCGCTGACGCTTCATTGCTTATCTATCTTAGACTCTTTTCTTTCTATAGATAGAGATGGATTCGTCGCGGGTCATATTAGGAAAACAAAAACAAAAACAGGGCGCGCGCTGTAGTCAGCTGATCCTTCGCAACTCGCAACAGGCATTCCCGAGTAGCATCGTTGCAACAAATAATTGCAGTTAAACTTGGAGAGCGAATCGATTGGTTGCATTCTTCGGTAGCTTGTTGTCCGGGTCTTCGTGCCTACCATGGTACACTAGTAATTGCTGAGCTCTTGGCATCGAATGGTGTGTGGAGCCTCGGATGATTGCTGGAGTTCGCACAGCACGTCAGCTGCACGTTCGGACCACGCACGAACCGTTTCCCGCAGCAGCAACAGTATTTTGTCTGCCGGTGCCGGTCCTGGCCACACGTGTACGTAGCTAGATCGTTTGCAACGCCTTGTACATAAGCGGGTAAACTAAAATAGGCGGCACGGGATCACCCCCCTAATACATTTGCGGCGAGTGATTTCGCATGCAGTCGGCGTGCTCGCAAGCCGCTGGCAGCTGGCCCAAAATGTGCCACTGCTGTTGTGTCCCTGTCTGTGGTACGTGTTTTTTCATACAAAAGATTCGCTCAAGGTCACCCAGCAACCTTCTTCTCACGTTGTTGTGTGCACAATCCTGGGAGACATAGGAATCCTGCTAAGAAATCAACTCATTACTGACAGGTGCACCAATTCCCACGAACGAGAGGGGTTCCTGTTGGACAACAGACAGCAGCAAGCTACAGTCACCGGGCGACTGCTGTTGAGGATCAGACATTACAGCAGTTGGTCTACCGCAGTAAATATTTAGTCTAATTGGCATTGATCCACGTATACCCACGTGTCGATCTGGAATCTAACCTCTACAAGAGCAGAAGCACTGCACACACAACAAGCTACAACGACACCGGCAAGCACATTTTCGTTTGCGGTTTGGGCCTCGTGAGACGAAGGGTGGAAGCCCCACAAGCATCTCCGCTGCCCAGCCGCCCCTGCAAAAGGGTCGCCTTCATACATTCTTCCATACAGAAATAATAGCGGCCGTTTCCCAGGTATTATACTACGCTAGGGCTGGGGGAGAGAATCTGATGGCGGTCGTTAAGTCCATACACACAAATGCAGCAGTGCACCTTCTCGGCGAAAATACCACCGTGGTACGCACGGGCCGCTGTACACCAAGGACAGTAGACGCAGCAGAGGGGTGCGAGTCACACGCAGAGAAGGTTGACGTGTGCACATGACAGAAGGGAACCAAAATAGCTTTCCTGGGACCTTTCGAAAAGTTGCTACAAGCACACAACAGCAGCTGTCCTACAGAACACCACCACCAAGAGAGACGTGGACACGGAGAGCCAGAGCCAGAGCCATGCCCATGGCCATACATGGGTAGGCCAGATAGAAACACGGGGCATATCTTCATCGCTGCGTAGAAGCAAGCTGGCAGCGACGCGGTCCCCCTAAACGGAACAAAAGCCAAATACGACGATCTGTCAGCTGCTGTCAGCCGGTTTTTCTCACAACTGCTGAAGGTCCCCACTGACTCGCTACCTGGCTGGTCTTGCTGGCCACGCTCAAGTTGGTCCATCGCCGAGATCCTTTGAACGCCGGTGGTACGTGACGAGTGCGTAACACCACGCACTGCCGAGCGTGGCCCAAGTCAAGCAAGCTTCGGCAGGGGCAACACGAACTGCAGAGAAGGGCAACCATGGAACGGGCAGGGGTAGGTAGGGGATGTGCATGAAAAAAATGTTGAATGGCGGGGATGGGGGGGGTATCTCATGTCTCTCGCTGGTGTCCGTATGTACATATTGCACGACTTTCCAAGTCATCTTCCACTATGTAGTGATCACAGAGCAAGCACTGCCGCGCACGGTCTCATCGTTCCTTGAATCTATCGGTAATGCTATCTGCGACACCCGGTGTGTCAATTATTGTTTGCAAAGAAAATAAGAAGTACCGTTCCGCTTCAACTTGGCATCAGATCCAAGTCAGATCCCCAAAAAATCGTTTCAACGTTTCAACGATGCATTTGTCACAGCCGACAGAACCGTTGTCGGGTCAACTCCATGATCCGGACTAAAAGAACCAGCGCAACCTATTTGATTGCTCCCGACACCATCCAACACCATATCCGGCTCGAGACCAACCACGACGACGAACAAATGAGGCACAGGTGATACAAGCAGACCCTCTTATGTACTGTGGATTCGGTGCCGGTATGGGTACGTAGACTACACATTGTATAACTCAACTTCTATGTGCACTTACAGTAGTCTCATGTACACGCATAGAACAGCACAGCGTTGAGGATTGGCAGCAAAAATCTGTGTCGGTCTTGTACTCGGCCGTCAAAGCAGCGTTTGGGAGAGAGCAAGCGGCCACGTGATCATTCGCTTTTCGGTCGGGCGCTACATACGCCACGAAGGGCACGAGGCGGACGGAGCTGTGCCAAATGCAAGCTATTCTCTCCATTATTGGCAAGTAATACAAAGAAAGGCGGTTGACGCTGTTTGTTGTTTGTTGTGTCGTGGGTCGTGGGTATAGCATACGTAGCTCGTCGAAAATTCATCAGATTTATTGGACAAGAGATGGCGCAAATCTAACCCTACCTTGTGGCCACCTAGGCTTGCCAGCGCTTCTGTGTCCCTTTCGGCGCGTGCTCACGTACTCGGTAGCCTTCCGTGCTCTCAAGCGAATCATCATGTCTGTCTGCTGGCCAGGGCCGTTTTTTATACACAGCGCATGCATACCTCCCGACATTTTTCGTGACCTCGTGTTGACGCAACAAACGGTATACACAGAACAAAATAATTCCCAGCAGTTTGGTCCATCTACGCATACGGCGACAAACTCGTGGGGTTCCTGCTTCTTCCCGAATCGAAAGCGCTACAATGTATCTGGAGCACAAGAAGACACCACATAACGTCCGCCGCTTTGAAGGGCTCTACCACAGAATTAATGTTTGGTTTTGCTTCACGCGATAGCCATGCAAGGCTGATCTCCCCACCCACTGAGTAATGTGTTCGCGTGATGCTACTGCCTGAAACGCGTTGACAAACAAGCGAACCAAGAACGCAGAGAGCAGCAACAGTTGAACGTTTGGAGAGAGCACACACGCACGTACCTTGATCTACGCATCATTTTCGTGGAGTGCTACAAACAAAAGCGGTTGGTACATTCCCTGGATCTTCGTTGTCGAATGCAGGAGACATCTCGCCTTGAGGAAACCGCTTCCCTCGTCGGCAGTTTGCGCCGTTTCTCGGGGACCATCACCGTGGTTCTCAACAACCGGGGTGGGAAGGCGCTCTCGCCGGGATCCGGGAGAAGGTACAGCTGGCCCTGTCAGATCACGTCGAGCGTTCGGGTTTTCGACTCGAGCCGCGGAAAGCTCAGCATCCAGACAGTCGACGGAGGACTCGTGGAGACCGCGGTCATGTCGTTCTCCGTCAAGAAGGTGGTGAGCACAAGGGAACGCGTTTCGGGTCGCTTTTCGTTGTTGTTTGCTCGAGACTATATAGTCGAGACCGGTCCCCCCCCCCCCCGCCCCCCCCGCGCCTTATGGGGTTCAGGGGTTGTCTCGCTTAGCACGGAGCTGTAAAACTGTTGAATAGGGCACGACGGGGGGGCGGGTTGTTCGTGTCGTGTATCGGCTCACACCCTACACGGGATGCTGTAGCTGGAGTGCCCCCGCTAGAGCAACGTATACTTGTTTAGCCCGAACTACTCTATCTGGAACGTTTCCGCCTAACGTATGTATACAGATCCTTTTTGCACGAAGCAACGACGGTGTTTGCTGTACAGTACCTGACTTTTCAAGAGCGCGCAAATATCGATGCACTCTCGAGCAAACAAAAGGCATTAAACGGACCCGAAACGCGTTCCCTTGTCCTCACCAGCTTCTTGACGGCGAACGACATGAAGGTTGTCGCCACGAGTCCTCCCTCGACTGTCTGGATGTTGAGCTTGTCCGCGGCTCGAGTCGAAACCCCGAACGCTGGACGCGTTCGGACAGGGCCAGCCGTGCCTTCTCCCGGATCCCGGCGAGAGCGCCTTCCCACCCCGGTTGTTGAGAACCTCGGTTGTGGTCCCCGAGAAACGGCGCAAACTGTCGACGAGGGAAGCGGCTCCCACAAGGCAAGACATCTCCTGCAGATTCGACAACAAAGAGCCAGGGAACGTACCAACCGTTTGTCTGCAGCACTCCACGAAAATGGTGCGTAGATCAAGGTACGCGCGTTTGTGCTCTCTCCAAACGCTCAACTGCTGCTCTTCCGTTTTTTCCCAGTTTTTTTTGGGGGGTTGATTGTGCGCCGTCTAACGCGACCGGTTCCCTGTGTATGTAGTCTATGCGTACAACGAATCATCACGCTGCCACTTCCGTTGAATGCTGCTGCAACTTCTCTTAATAATGCTGAACAGCGCTTTCCCCCTCCGCCCAAATGCTTGCTCGACTCTCCTACTCCTGCTGCTGTGGACAGGAACCCTACTCGTGCTGTATATTTACGTTGGATCCCGTCTTCGCCGCGCCACCCGCCAATGTGTCCGGTAGGTGTGGATGTCTGTGTCTTGTCGAAGTATGTATCAGTCTTCGTACTCTTTTCTTGTTCAAGTACAGCGGTTGTCAGTGTTTGGAACGACATACCTTGAATGCGTATTCACTAGTCTTCCGACACAAGTGCTAAAAGAACATTTTAGCCACACGCTCACCACAGCCCTCGTTCGGACAAATTTCATTCGTACCCTGCCTCCGGAATCTTCACTTCAAGTAAGAAACGGTAGAAAAGAAAACGTCACTGTAGCAGTTAAAGAAAGAAGAGGCAGTTAAGAACATTCACTTGTAGTATCTGCCCAGCAAAAGATCTGCACACCAGCTCTCACATACATGGGCGAACGAATGTAGTGACTTGCGCTCAAACCAAGAGCCACACGATCTTCGCATAATAGTAGGTAGTCTACCGCTCACCGTGGCATGTTCGTTGCGTGTGGGCACAATGATCTTCGGAGTTGCAAGGAGGGCGAGCGAGTGTTCACTTGCGGGTCATGATCTCCCGTACGTCACATTGAGTAAAAAACAGTGCTTCTAAGAACACACGTCGCAGGATGCCGCGCACCCTCTATGACCTTTCGCCGAATATCTCACGGCGCTTCGAGCTTGGTGATGTGCTAGCCTGGTCTGTGGTGATACCGGGTGCGCTCCGTCTCAGTTTTGTAGCGATGCGAGGTCAGTGTACGGCATGTACGGCCATGAGCATTCACTACTGCATGTTGTAGCGGGTACCAGTAGAGAGCTCGTACAAAGTTGGTGAATCTGTGCTTTTTTGTGGATGTATTGAGAATAATGTGGAAATCCCAGGCGATCAACAGAGCAGGACAGGATTACGTCTACATGACGTCGTTCCTCGCGGAGCCGGTCTTGCGGGTGGTGCCGTGTGCGCCCGTCGACAGGCGGTGCTTGGACTTGTCGGCCCAGCCACCGGCGAGCTGGATGGCCTGCTCGTCGGTCAGCGGTTGCAAGCAGAGGCGCGGAGGAGGGCGGAGAAATATGGGACTATGCAGCAGAACATGTAGGGACGGACAAGTGTGCGCGTCAGTCAAACACTCGAATGGACCACAACAACAACAACAACAACAACAAAATCCCGCTTCAGGCGCAAGCAAGCGACCAACCCTGCTGGATGGACCGATCGATGCCCACCGCACCGCGAGGTATCCCTCTCTCCGCGCGCGCAGATACACAACAGCTACGTAGACCCCATCTTTAGCGGAAGAAAAACAACGGTCGTTACTTGGTGCGGCCGCGCACTCACCGCCAGCATGCCCGGCGCCATCTCAGAGCCGAGGAGGGCTCCGACGCCTCTGTGCCTGTTCCTTAGGTGCTGCTCTAAGTTTGCGGCGCCGACGTTTGGCATAGGGGAGCCGTACAAGTAGCGCATTCTGCACGTAGGGTCAACCGGGAACCGTATCGTGCGTCATCGAACAAGGCGAAAACGCAAGGAAGCCCAGCTTGCCGCGGACAGGTTCAAGCAGGAGTTCACCACGCTGGTGAACGCCGAGTACGAAAGCCGCACGGAGGAGGTGAAGCAGAAGAACGCCCGGATGTCGGCCGAGAACGCCAACATCGAGAAGAAGGAGAACGAGAAGCCGCTCGTGGAGTGGAGGTCTCCACTCTACTCTGCGAACGACATCGCTTTCTTGGCCAAGCCACCCTGCCTGCTCCAAACGTTTTGGATTGCTATGAAAGCGGTGTCGAGGAGCGGGCGCGGCTGGGTCCACGCAGGATATGTTGGGCTCGACCACTAAATAGGCGTGTTGGGTGCAGCAATCGCAGGAAAGACGACAAAAAAAAACAAGTTAAACAAAGAAAGGGCAAGTGTTTCTCTGGCCGCGATGATCTGTATCGCTCACGGTTATAGCCGGCCGCGCGCCTGCTCTGCCACTGCGCACGCACGCGACGAGTGTCCTGTTCACGAAAACCCTGCTCTTTTTTTTTTTTTTCACCAGCTGCCCGGTGCCGGTTTTCTCCTCTTGTTGCTGCTCGCGTGCAGCCCGCAACAGTAAGGCGGCGGCTACCGGACACTCGGCTGGTAGGCGCTCCGGCGCGGTGCAGTACCAGCGGGCGGAGAGTGCCCAGGGCAGCGAGACCGGCGTCTCGACGCTCGCCATCGGCGGCGTCCGCAAGCGTGTCGTCGAATGTCAGGAGGGCCGGGAGGACTGCAAGGCCGTCTTCCACCTCACCCACCCCGTCGACCAGCCGTACCGAGCGCACGCCCAGAGGAAG